GAGGGGGCGAGGGGCGACCCGCGCTGCCCCGCCGCCATGCCCACGCCAGCTCCGTGTCTCACCTCTGTGCCCTTCTCCTCGTTTTTGCCGTTCCAGAGCCGCTCAGTACACATGCATGTTGCTTAGCTATTTAATAGAGCGTAAGGCTGAGAAAGAGAAGCTGGTAATGAAACTCAAGCAGTTGGAATCGAGCATGAGCTCGGGCCGGAAAAGTAAGTACCTGCTGTCGTCTGGGGAGATCAGTGCCTCCTCCCTTGCTGCTGCCAGCGAAACAGCTCCTGGCCGGACGTTTCCTGCACTTCACCTGCTCTGAGCCGCAAAACCTCTTTTACTACATTCACAAAATTGCCAGGAGACCTCATCCTTGCCTTGGCTTGCCAGGCTATCTAGCCTTACCTAGGGCCAGAGAGACATTTCTGCCTTCCCCAGCCTCCTCCCCGATCAGGCAATCGGAGTTGTCGCTGGGCGAACTAGAGAAATAAGTTAACTGTCCGCTGTGGCTGCAGAGATCAGGTTTTCATCTCTGTTGAAGGCCACACCACAGAGTTACGATGCAAGGCTGGCTTACTGCGCTCTCGTTAGTCCTGCCAGCTGATGCGTTGTGGCGGCCCAACGTTAAAGATCAGCATCCCAGTAAAATCACCTCTGAAGGATCATCTTTCAATATGGCTTCCCTCTTTGCTTATTAATTTTCATTAGCATCTATACTCTACTAAATCATATACCCTTCCATACTTTTCTCATCTCTAACCGTGTGCATCACTTCATTCTCTGCCACAGTTGCAGCCATTATGGCTGTGCTGCTGCTGTGGTTGTACTGCTTGCTTTCGGGTTGATCTTACACCTACTTATCAATTGCTCAATCCTGGAGCAACCTCGGTACATGAGGCAAATAGTCTCATTTAATGTGTTATCATGGACTTGTTTTATTATTCCAGTTAGCTCCAGAGTACAGTAATTGCTAGCAGAGAGGCCAGTGGTTTATCAGCATAGCCATAATTCTCTGGCTTTTGCTGAACAAATCTCTCATAGACATCAGGCCTAAATTCAGGACTCTTGCAGATCCACTAAGCTCGGGTGCTGCCAACATCTGTCACTGTGACAGTGCAGCAGGTTTTGAAAAGTATTTTACATGATACTGCATTAACATTCACAGGGCAAAACCTAAACTGTGCGGCGGATGGAGTCAGGCTTGCCGTATATTAGAGCTTGAAATGGAATATGCTGTTCCTGTCTGCAGGGAGCTACGTGTACCTCTGAGAAATTCTTGGCTGAGGAGGGACTGGGGTCTCAGTGTGCTGGGCACCTGAATCACCAGCCTTCACAGAAGCTTAGGAAAGGCGTAGCTCGTGGTTGCAGCAGAGTTGGTGCAGTGACATCTGTCCACAGAGTTAGGTGAAGCCCAGTGCAGCGTACCGCTGAAACTGGAGGCTCTGTTTGTGTCGCTTTTTTGCCAACTCTGACTTGCTCAGAGCAGTTGACGATGCTGGTCCGGAGGGCACCCGGGTGCTGAGAACGGAGCGGCGGGAGAAGGCTGCAAGTCCTGGCTTTGGAAAAAAAACCTTTGTGTAGGTCCTGGGCTGCTGCAGAGCAGAAACCCCTTTCCTCGTTCAGACTAGCTTCTCACACTGTGAGAAGAAAATGCTTAAGTGTACAAAAGCCCCAGGCCCAGTGAGTTTTTTAAAAGTACATGTGGACGGTGACACGCTGAGCTGTCCTGCGCAGGGCTGTCTCTCTGGTGGTGGTAGAGGCCAGGCCATGCTAACCTTTGTGGGGTTTCTTGCAGTGTTCAGACTGGGCAACATGGTACACGCCTTGGTAGCAGCCAGGAGAACAACACAGCTGCCAGACGCAGTTCCTCGCTTCTGCCTGACAGCCTCCAACCTGACGCGTGCCCTCTACTTCGTCTGCGATGCGGTCCTGTGGCTGAAGAGCGTTGGGCTCCAACCTGACATCGATAAGCCAAAGTGGCGGAATTGGGCTACCAAGTGTTACTACTTTTCACTCCTGATGAATCTGGCCAGGGACTGGTACGAGATCTCCTGGAGGCTGGAACAAGCTGTACAGGAAGAAAAAACAAAGAAGAATTCCTGCTGGGATGAACACAACCAGGAACTAAACTGCCTGAAATGTGACGGTTTACACGGTTTTCTCCTCCAGGTGTTTCAGATACTGAAAAAGCATCCTCCATTGCTGCTGGACTTGGTGAAGAATCTCTGCGATCTCTCAGGTCCTTTGGATACGCTAGGGATCTACAAGACCAACCCAGGAGTGATTGGTTTCTGTGGCGTCCTCTCCTCGCTGGTGGGGATCCTCACCTTAGCAAGCCCACACCTGAAGCTGAAACAGTGACATGAAAGGAGCTGCACAGCATGCAGCGAGCCAACAGCTTTGATCCTCTGGTTGATAGGTTTTTATCCTCTGTATGGCACTTTTGAAATGAACATGTCTCACAGTAAGCTCAAGATTATTTTTGTCCTCTGAATAAGCGAATTCTACCCTTTTTCCTTCCCTGTGTCTTTGCAGATGAGCTTGGTGCCATGACATACTCCCTGATGGGGCGGAGATGGCAGAAGGCAGAGGAATATTTAACAAACAGAAACAGGACTTGGAACATGGCTGCTAGATAAGGAAATACTGGTCTTCGTATGTTTTCATACAGGGTTGTGAAATAGCTGCATGGACAATTGTAACAGGTTTATGACTCATAACTAATCATGTTTACACTGGAAAGCTGGAATTCGCCAGTCAAAGGTTCCTACAGTCAGATTTGCTATAGTGGGCTCAGGCAAGCTAGGAGCTGTGGTTAAAATGGCCTGAAGTCACGTAGGAGTGTTCAGATGCATTTGGGTTGATGGATTCTTTCATCTGTAGGCAGTGGTTTGAATGCAGTGTGATGGCGACTGAAGAGTGCTGTGATCTGACCTTCCCATGATCTGTGAGACGTGCACTGGTGACGCTGGGTCTGTGGTCTAGTGAGTGCAGACGTGTGTCCCAGGAAATCAGCACTTTCTTCTTTTTCTGGAAAGAAGACCGTTGGCCATCGAGTCTGACTTCTCCAGCAGGCCATGGCTGAGGGTTGTGGTGAAGGACAGCGTGGGGGAGAAGCTTGTCTGAGTGCTGGTGATGCTGTGATTTGTGGGGAACTGGGTTCCCAAAGCTGTGAATCTGGAACCACTCAGAAGCACTGAATTTCCCAGTACACACACACCTTAACTCCCAAACCCCTGTAGTTCCGAATGCAACAATTTTGCATTAATCATATTGTGATAAGGAGCTTGTTTTGCTGTTTTAATTTTATGTGAAAAATTCCAGTATAATAAGGAGCTTTGGAACCTGCAGTTAAGGAGAGAAGCCTGGCTCAGAGCTCTCTGAGTCAGAAAAACTGCAAGGGTGTGTTTCTAGTTGTGTAAGCTCCCGGAGGGAAGGGAATGGAGTTAGTCGTGATAGTATCAGAATCCCCTATGAGAAGAAAAGCTTATTACTGGATTTGGGCATGCATGGTTTAGATTTTCCCATCTGGTCCTCCCTATCCTCCCTTCTCATGACCACAAGATTTCTTGTGCGTTCCCTCACTGGTTGAATGGGTTCTACCATTTGAAAGTGCCTTACGTTTGCCCTGCAACTGCGTTGTTGCTCATGGCCTGCCTCGCTTTGCAGGATTGCCTGGCCGTGTCATCTACGTCAAAGGAGAAATGCTCTGTCCAGCTGTCTAACAAGTGTAGGGCATGTAGTCTTTGTTGCTCTTGACTTTGCAGAGTACCAGGTCTGACACCATCTAAGAAAAGTATAGGAGATGAAATTATCATTTTTCCTTCACCAGACTTAGGCCTGTGTGTTCTGCTACGTTCTGGTGCAAGGGCTCCTTGTTTAATCTATCAGGACATGTGAGCAAAGACTCCTCTAACCTGGACCAAGGTACTCTTATTGTTTCTGATACTGCCTGAAAACAGAAATTAAAAGGTGCTGGTCTCCTTTATTAAAAGGCAAAGGCTGTGCAGTTGAGTAGGCCCCGTAAGGCAGTGCCCCAGTTTACCTGAAGTCATTGTGGTTGGGCTTGGAATTACTTCCAGTTTGAATCTGAAGTGTTACTCTGCCAGTGAAGTGTTTGAATAAAGAGGTTGCTGAGCAGGATAATTAAGTGTGCTTGAAGACCAGATGTGGCCTGCAGCAGCTCTTCTTTTGAATATGGAAATGAATACCATTATAAGCAGAGCGTACTGGCAGTTCAGACCATAATGGAGCATTACCTATGGGATATGTTGTCTTCAAGGGCTTCCTCTCCTTTTTAACAATGGAATTTTTTTTGTTTCTTTCCTCCATTTGCCTTTCAACTCCTGGCAGTGTGGGGCCCATCCCTCCCTGGGTCAGATTTGATCATTATCCCTGTGTGTAGCAACAGCTGTAAGGAAGGAGGAGGAGTCTCGATAATCTGGCAGCAGAGGTTTGGCCACCTCTGGTTTACAGAATTTTGTCTTCTTGCAAAAAAAACCACATTTTTAATTCCTCTCAGGGGAGCTCTCGGATACAAAATACTTCTTTCACTGGTTTGCGAACTGATTTCTCTTTTTCTCTTGTACTTTGTTAGGTAAAGGGAAATGGATTAATGTAGTGATGTGGCCCCCAGCCAGCTACACCTCCCTGTGCCCTGCGGAGGGAGAAGGGTGGGTTTTTCCCTTGTGCCAGGCGAACGCTGGGCAGAGCCGTGAGCCAGGCTTTGATGTTTCTCCTGTAGGGACTGGCGTGGATTAGCAAGTACAGACTTAAATGTGGGAGATGGGGCAGTGAATTTTCAGCCTTTCTCAGCCTTACCTGTCCCGTTCTACATGATGTGGTTAGAGACTACAGGAGTAACTCTTTTTACTTGATGTTAAGCACTAATACTTGCCTTCTGCTCCCCAGCTGGAGGTTAGCAATTTAATGTGCCTTAACGTAATGTGACTGAAGCCATAGAATCATGATCAAATGGAGAAAACCCTTTTAGTGCCTTTTTTTTGGTATTGATTTCTAATACAGCAGTTGGAATAAGGACAGCTGTTTGAATACAAGCAATAAACTGAGATAAGTGTGACACCGTGTCAGTGTGTGTAACTTTAAAGCTGGGGACAAGGAGGCATCCTCCCTCCCATCTCTGAATTTTATGAAGGATGATACTGTTAAGGAGGCATTGCCTATAGCTGTGCTTGGGTTATAGAGCTTTCCTTTTGCAGCAGCAAGGTGCCAGCCAGATTCGTCAGGCTCATTTACAATCCCCATTTCAGCTGAAAAAACACGAAGAAGTAGCTATGTGAGTTCCAGGTAAAACTGCATGTATGACCTGCCCCGAAGCAAAAGGACCTTTTGAGCATTGCCATCAGTTGGCCCGGAGTACCAGCGGGGAGAGCTGGAGCCTTCTGCCCAGGCACCGCTCCAGCCAAAGGCACAGGTGCTCCTACATTGTAGTGTCTTGCAAACAGCCTTTCATCTGGGTGGGTCTTGGTGTCGCCGGGCAAATCGCTGCAGCTGCTGAAGGACAAATGCCACTTCAGGGCAGGGAGCGAAGGGTAACATCTCCAGCTGAGATGGCGAGGGATGGAGCCAGGATAACCATTAAAACCGAGCTTACTGTTAGCTCCTGTCCCCTGCAGGAAGAGCCTTGCGAACCTGGAAGCTCCAAAATGTCAGTTCCTGAACAATGTATAAAGCATTGCTTTCAGCAGCGATTGAGCAAGAGTTTCCTTCTGAATTGCTGGTCTCATACACATTTCGTGATGGAAAGTTAACAAGAGAGCGGTCTGTGGGAGAGGTGCAAAGTAATCTTCTACTCTCCTTGCAGACAAGGCCTTTCTAATGTTACGACTGTGCTTGGCATGGTATTTCAAGAAATGCATGAGCTATTGGGGATTCCCAGGTGAGCAGCAAGAACAATCAAAGGCCTGAAAACCAACATCTCCAGGGACGGACCAAATGAGCCGGTTCTGTAGCGGAAAGGTGACTGGGGAAGGGTGTGAGAAGTCTTCAAGTGTCTAAAAGGTTGACTGCCAAGAGGAAGGCAATGAATCAGTCTCTATATCTGTCCAGGAGGTAATACCTTTATATTGCAGCAAAGGAATATTAAGTCACACAGGTGACTTTTTTGAACTGTAGTTAAAGTAAAAGACCAAGTGGATTGCCCAGGAAGTTAATTCTTAAAAAGAAACTGGACAGCCATCTGCCAGCAGTGGTTTAGGGGGTGCTGATCCAGCCATAGGGCATGGGAATAAATTAGTTACCTCTCCAGACCCCTTCCAGAGCTAAGCGTAAAGATGCCTTGCAGGTCTTTGGAGATCTGGCTCATCCCCTCGCCGTGGTGTGTTAATGGCTGTGGAGCAGACTGCAGAGACAAAGGTGTAAAACCCTGCTTGTCTGCACCCAGCTGATCCCTTCAGCTCTACATGCTGCCTGCAGAAACCCAGAAAGTGTTTCTGGCGTGGGCTGGAGGCGGTGGTACCTTTGCACCGCAGAGCCCGGGGCTGGCACAGCCTTTGCCCAGGAGGACGGGGAGGGGATGAGCGAAGGCGACAGCAGGGCAAAGGCTGTGTTGTCTCTCGGTCCCAACTCCGGCCAAGGCAGAGAGGAGGTTGGCGTGACCCCTGCGCTTTTGGCAAGGCCAGTGGGGCTGGAAAATGTCTCAGTGCCAAGAGAGCAACCTTTTGAGCTGCTGCCCTTTGTCCCACTGTCTGGAGAGCCGTGGCTCACCCCACCGCCGAGCTGGAGCCAGCCCAGGACATTCACGTGCGAGGAAGGCAGAGCCCCAGGCTGAAAGCGAACTCCGGGCTCTTAGGGAGGGAAGTGGGTGTTTTCCTCCCGTGCGTGGCTTTCCCGTGTCCCTGGGAAGCCTCCCACTCCCACAAATGAGCAGCGCAGCCAGGAGCAGGGAGCCGTGGAGCCGCGCTGGGTGCACACCTCCGTGTCCTGCACAGGGGTGCGGGGCAGCTGCGGGTGCTCGAGGACTTGGCTCTGCTGCCAGGGCCTCCCCTGATGCTGAGCCTCATGCCGAGGGCCTCCCTGCCACGGTCTTGCTCCTTGAGCAGCCTGAGCTAGCTTCGAGGGTAGCCCTGCTTTGAGCAAGAGTCGGATGAGGTGATCTCCAGACATCACTCCCACCCTGATTTTTTCATCCGTTTCTGTCTACTCCAAATGCCTAGAGCTTTCCTAATGCAATGTCTGCCCTGACCCTCGGCTAAAAGCCTCCTCGCCAAAATCCTCGGTGAATTCTTTTAGAAATTGCAGACCTGGCCAAACTAGATTGTTTTATGCAGGATGTCCCCGCCATGTCTGCCTTCTGCTCCTTCTGCCTAGTAAAACTCTCCTGGGGAGAAACTATGTTCCTGGTCTGTGTTGCATTCCCAAGAGGATAGGATCCTGATCCACCACAGGGGATCACAGGGGATGCAGAAATACAGGAAGGTTTTAATCTCTTAGAAGACCTGCCTGACTCTTCACCTTCTCCCTGGCTGCTCATGATATGTCGCTTTTGAGGTGATGAGGTCCAAGGGCAGCTTCTTGTCACCTTCTCTTGGTGGAGTGGCATTAAACCCCCGGTGCATCCCAGCTGTGCTGCAGCGTCTGGGCTCAGCAGGGAAGACAATGAAGGAGACTTTCTGCCGTCATCTGTTCCAAATTACGGTGGCTTCAGGGAGCTCTTTGGCCAGTTTCCACCGCAACCAGCCAGCTCCCAAACCCGCGCAACTGGGAGGTGGGGCCTCGTGGTGGTAGTGGCCAGGGCACAGTGCATCGCTCTCAGAGGACCCCGGGTGAAGGGACAGGGCAGCCACCATCCCCTGCTCCTGCTCTGCCCCTCG